CGGGAGCGGCACATCTGTGATACTCGTGAGCTACTCTATCCCAGCCACTGAACAGATTCTTCGACTCACTCCTGCTGGTGATCTTGCTTCAAATTGAAATCCACTCTGAGAAGCCTTTTTCGATGCAGATAAATTATTCGAGTCTTATCTTGAAGATTTCAGTTCAGGCGATTGTAGCATGGGTGCAGTGTCAGTGAAAAAATTTTTGCTAGCGACTGCTTACTTTGGAGAAGTTGTTCCGTAACCAGCTTACTACTGAGGACGTAAAAAATGTTCACTAACCAAAGAAAGTCTGGAACAGGTTGGAGAAAGATGAGAATACCGAAAAAATCGAATTGCGTAAATGGTAACATGTCCTATCACTGAAACACACATCACATACATGACACATCACTCCAAGATGTGGCCGAAAGCCTTGCTATGACAGTGTGCACGTTTATGTTGGTTGCATACGGTTTTGGTATCATTGACTGGTACCTGAAATACAGATAAGAACTGACAGTTATAGCGGTCCGCCCACATTTATTCACTGCGCTGTACAAGTACCAGCATGGTCGCGATCCGCTCCTCGCAAAGCCGAACGGCGCCTCGCACGCTCTGCAGTACATTATGTGAACGTGATAGTAAAGTAAAATGGTCGCAATGGTGGAGTTTCGAATAGAAAGTAGAATCAAGGATTAATACGATTATGAATTGTTGCGTGAGCCACTGATTCATTCAGTATGAAATATCTAGACCTAATTGTCTTCCAGAGTAACATGTACCCAGCAATGGAACCAAAACGACTCAGAGCCGACTACGGAGAGATGTCCAATGAGATGGTTAGTATTATGTCCCTGTAGCCTGATAGGTTAGGTGCAGTGAGAAAATGCGTAAAATGCGTATTATTGAAGTCGTGTAATAGGGATGTTAGAGCCTCAGTAAAGCTGGTGCCAGACTTTGCGAATCCAGCGATTCGCTAGCAAATCGCATGATATGAGCGTTGCGTCAGCGAATCGAGCTGTGTACCAGCGGTTCGAGTGGTGTACCAGCGACTTGACACTGTTTGAAAGTGGCGGGATTCGATTCAAAAATTGGCTCTAGCCATTTCCCGGGCTCACGAGGGCTCGAGAAGGTAGCGAGAGTCAACGTACAACGAGAGGAGTCCGCCACTTTCAAACAGTGTCAAGTCGCATTTAAATCGTTCGATCCGCTAGCACACAGTTCGATCCGCTGGTGCAGCGCCTGTACACCACGACTCGCTAGCGAATTGATGAATTCGGTAGCGAATCGCTGAATTCGCAAAGTCTGACATCGGCCTAATGGATTGATATGGCTCATCTTTTCAGATTGAAGTAATTGCCACGGACGATTTGCTTGCGGAGGCCGTGGAAGAAGTAGGTGATCTAACGGAAGGACGAGAGTACGTGTACCAATACGACAACATGGTTCATACGCAGCATGATCAAAACATTATTTTCCAGGTTGGTCTTAAGATACAGGGATTTCGATGATGTAGTCAATTGTAATCGCCGCAACAATCACTCTTCAGCTCTATCAACCAATAGAAACAGTCAACGGCACATTTTTGTGTAGAATCTGCATGGAACTTGGTGACACGATCGAATTTGAATCCAAAGCGGATTATGCTCATCATCGTTACAAAGTCCATGGGTCATATAATGTAAGTTTTTTTTTTTGCATTTATTGCACTTATTTAGAAAAACGCTCTTAACCGACAAGTGCAATCAGCTGTGACAAATATGGTCAGCGTAAGACTAGGTGCAGTACGCGTGCTACGCGCATGCCTTGGAGATTGCATAGCAGTCGGATCCCGCCAGCCAACCCAACTCTCTTTCCTAGGCGCTGCTTGGCCTTGCTCTGTTTTTTATGAATGGAAAAATGCTGAAGGCGGCAGGTCAATTGAGTTTGTCTATATTACTATGAAAGTCCCACTTCAACTTGGAACAGTTGAAATATTGAGTTATGTCTGCATCCAAAGTGTAGAGTATTGCGCAACACTCACGCTCGTTCTTTTCGCTCTAAGGACATAATTCTGAGATCTTATTGCTAAAATGATGGCGGTGGAGTACACAGAAGGGTACTTGAGCAGCTGAGCTTCGCAGAACTCACCTATATGGCTTGTCTTCTTCTGTGTGCGAACGACAGGTGTGAACAATTAGGCTCACGATTGGCCATCCGCGGTTGTAGCTTACGAGTTATCTCCATCTCAGTGCAGATCTTTTCTAGGCAACAATCCCCTTCTCCTACCCCACCTTTCCCTGGGCTCGAACATTTTTTGTCGCCTGTTACTTCTTCTCATGGTATGATCGCCCATCGTTAACGTTTGTCGTGTTCTCTTAAGAATTGCGGAAACAGGACAATGTGCATAGCTCAGAGCTGCGGAGTCTGACTCATATAGAGTGAGCCAATTGAACCTCGAAGGAATTGCTTGAGTGCGTTGTGAGTTGGCCCTCGACGTAGATGCACTGTTCGCCCACGTTGAGCGCAGGCAGTGCAATCATACAAATTCGCGCGAAGTTCAGGTGGGTGTAAGAAACGGGAATGGAAAGGGCAACCACGATAGCCCCACTCTCGCACTTTCCCACGCTGGCGAGTATCTTTCTCGTTCGTACGTTGGCTCTCGCGCTTCATACGGATTATAAGGCAAAAACAACAACGCTGTCGCTGTCGTCTTCGCGATTGTGCGTTCGCCTAGTCTGCCATCCACCTCAGGATTAGCGAGATTTTAGGATATGTTTTTCAAAGGGTCGAAGCTGCCCACCGTCTTCTGCTATATTCATGGGTCTGCCTTCATTTCGTCGTCCAATTTGTAGAGCGCCCGAGATAGTCATGATGGAGACGTTTGATGAGGCCTCCTTGGTGACTACCGTCAGTCTCATTTTAAGCTTCATCAGACCAAGCGTTCTTTATGAACTGCGTCTTTGTTCACTAGATCGTGAGCACCATCTTCTTCTCTTCTTCGTCTATTTAGCGAGCGTTGTCTCAGATTCCGTATGCTACTTGAGAAGAGAACGGTGTCACCCGCGAATGCACATTTGAAAGAGCGGTCCATCCACACGAATGCCGCACTAATCCTGATCCGGCAACTTCACTATTCTCTTCAAAGGTGTTGTGAACAACGTTGGCGAGATGGTGTCGCTGTGTTTGACAATCTTCCCCGAAGAGATGGCGGTGTCAGACTGCAAGGTTAGCGATTCGCTAGTAGCGGGTCCGCGTGGTCGATAGTAACGATTCGGCGGTCGCTAACGAATTTGGGACTCGCTTCTAGCGACTCCGTGGACTCGCTACTAGCAAGGCGCTTCATTCGCAAAGTTTGACAGCGCCCCGAAACAGTTTCACCGTTGTATTGCAGTGAGTGTTGCAGTTGGGGCATCTTCTTATACATAAGAGCTGCTCCCCTTGGACGATTAGTGCAAATAGAGTCGCGTTCTTTTCTACACTTTTAAGTAACCTTCTGGTTACTTACGAAATCTAGTGTAATGAAATCCTCCACAGAAAATTGAAATATTCTAGTCGGGTAAATTTGTAGTGGGGCACTACCTAAATCACTTAATCACG